AAAAAAAAAAAAAAAAAACTTTATGAATAGTAGGGGAAGGGAAACATTGTCTGATAGAGTGCCTTAAGATGAGGCCCTCAGGTTGGAAGGCACTGAAAATAGGACTGGGAAAGAGCTGCCTCCTTAAAGTAGAGTTGACCTTAATGATGTAGGGGTTCTTCAAGATGTCTAATTGAGTTGTTTCCTCTTTTCAGGGTGTTCCTGAAAAGAAGGTACTGCCAATCACCGTCCCCAAGTCCCCAGCCTTTGCTTTGAAGAACAGAATCCGAGTGTTCACCAAAGAAGAAGAGGTGATTCTCTAGGAACAGGAGTTTCCTTCTGCATAATCAATCTAGCATTACCCTTTCTAAAATGTAATGTAATTCAAAGGCAGCCACCTTTGTCTAGAGTCATCTATAAGAATGAATATGAATGAACATTTTTTTTGCTTCTCTAGGGAAAATTAGTTGGCATGGGTGTCAAATCTTTTGACTCTTATAATTTGTAATTTATAAAAACAGTGAGGAGGGGTTAGGCATTAGAGGCTTGTCTGTTTATAGCGTTCAAAACCAGCCCCGTCTTTGTAACGTGGATCAAAAGTTGCGGTGCTTAAAAAAAATTACAGGTTCAGTGTAAAGAAGTCATTTAAGATTAAATTGCCAACCTGATGACCCATCCTATATTTTAATATGATTTTCCTATAAACAAGAATATTCTTCTATATAATTATAATATAGTCATCAAAATTGAAAAGTAACTTGGATACACTACTACCATCTAATCCTCTCTTAGGAGCTCTGGTGGTGCAGTGGTTAAAGCATTTGGCTGCTAACTAAAAAGTCAGCAGTTCAAATCCACCAACCCCTCCATGGGATAAAGATGAGGCATTCTGCTTCTGTAAATATTTATAGCCATGGAAACCATATGGGGTAGTTCTCCTCTGTCCAGTAGGGTCACTATGAGTGGGAATTGACTTGATGGCAGTGGGTTTGATGTTTTAAAATTCTCTCATAAAAAACTAAGAAGAAAAGAGAATTCCCTTAATCCTCTAAAGCATTACTACTCAAAAGTTGTCCTCAGACTGTTGCTGGTTCTTAAACTCTTAACTAGTTTGCAATGAGATAAGTACAGAACTTGAGAAGAGTATTAGAAACATTTATAACTTTATTTGACAGAGTAATTTTTTATCTGTTGAATATAGAAATGAAAAATTTGGATTTGTAATTAATATTTCTTTTTTTTAATTTTCCTTTAAAATTTCTAGTAATTCATCTTTATTTTCTTTTATAAAAAGTATTGGCATGAACAAAAGACAGGCATATGAGTTGAACATTTACCTGAGGTAGATAAACTCCTTGTAGAGAACAATCATGGGAGAAAGAAGGGCTGCCTGTGCACAGGGAGACAGCTCAGGGGGTAGGAGTGCATGGAGGGATGGACACAGGGAAGAGGTAACTATCAGGAGGAAGTGGGAGGGGAGCTGTTGCGTTGTGGTAAACTGTAGTCAATGTCATGAGACAAAGTGTATGAACTGCTGTATGGAAAGTGAATTTGCTCTGTAAATCTTCATCCAAATCACACACACACAAAAAAAGTATTGTCATGTCATGGATTGAAAAATTTTTAATTGATCTTTCAACACAGATAGTTTGAGAAGCATGTGATAAAGCATTATTTATTAAAAACAAAAATTATTGTAAACATTGTAAATGGTAAAATGTTAAAAGATTTCCTGTGGGGAACAAGACGAGATGTTGTTACCATTTTTGTTTAATGCTGTAGTAGAGTTTCTAATCAGTGAAGAAAGGTAGGAAAAATACAGGCATAAGGATTAAAAAGGAAACAACAACAATAACAAACTTGTGTTATTTGTAAATCAAGTCCATAGAAAATACAAAATAATTTTTATAGCATCGCAGCTGTCTATCTCCAGCATCTCCTGCGTTGTGCCCATCCCTTTCCTGTCTCCATTAGACCAAAGGTTGTAGAGATGACTGTGTAGGTATGGTTCATGGAATTGGGATACATAAATTGTCATTGATCAGGCTAGTTTCTTGGTGGACCACCCATTTTATCTATAAATATCCAGAGTTAGGGTAATTTTATAGCAGATCTCAAGCATAAGCCTTTTTATAGTTTCATCTGAAACTAAAATACATGGTAATCTTATGTTACCAGTTTGAACCCAAAGAATTTACTTAGTCCTATTCTGGGTTTGGCAACCACTCCCAGTCACATGTCATAGTGGAGTCTGGAGACTGGGTCAAACAAGAAGCTAAGGTTTATGCTTGGTTTTAGTACTTTCCTTCTAATCGTCTTTCACAGTGTTTGATCTCATTTGTTTTTACAGCTTTCCTATGAAAAACATTAGAACTTGTAAGAGTAATTGTGTTAGTACTTTACCAAATGGTTTCATGTTGGCCACACTGGTCTTGCCCCTGTGAAGTGATAGGTGACTCAGGCATTAACTGTCTTTGATAGAAAAGGAAGTTAAGACACCTGGCAGATTGAGTGACTTGCATTAATTAATGACTTGCCTTATATAATGTCCTCAGGCTCCACATTCTGAGGTGGTGGGATAGTACAAGTTGTCTTATTTCTAAACTACCGTTTTTCCCTCAGGAAGAGGAGGAGCCAGCAGTGATCAAGGCTCAACCTGTGCCACATTATGGGGTGCCTTTTAAACCCCAAATCCCAGAGGCAAGAACTGTGGAAGTATGCCCTTTCTCCTTTGATTCTCGGGACAAAGAACGGCAGCTACAGAAGGAGAAGAAAATAAAAGAACTGCAGAAAGGGGAGGTGGGTGTTTCTATTTCTGCAGGTAGCATATCCTATTCTTTAATTCTTCAGAGATGATTTTTTATGTCACACTTTTAACTATAAAACCACTAACTTCCTTTGATCTCTATAAGAGCTCTATTAGGTATAAATAATGCAAGTCATTTTAATAGCTGTTTTAGCACAAAGAAGGTAAGTGACTTGTAGCAGATCATGCTGCCAGTTATTGGCACAGTTGGAAGAAAAACCAAGAATTCCTCTTGAGCCCATGATTTTCTACTAGACTATGCTGCTTTGAAAACTGGCTGACCTTTCTTATTTTTCAGATTCATCCATATATTCTGGAGCAGCTGTTATTTTCTGGCTAGAGGCTTTATTTTATTTTTTTTAATTTGGGTTAAAGTTTACAGAGCAAATTCATTTTCCCTACAGCAGTTCATATACATTTTGTTTCATGACATTGACTGCAATTCCCCACAGTGTAACAGCTCTCTTCCCACTTCCTCCCTGTAGTTACCTCTTCCCTGTGTCTTCCCTCTCATGGACTCCTATTCCCAAAGCTATCTCCCTGTGCAAACATTGTCCTTGTGTTCACCCACTATTGATTGCTCCACAGAGTGTATCTACCTGATGTAAACGTTCACCCTATATGCCTGTCTGTTGTTTGGCTGGAAGCCACTGGAGTGAGTTCAATTCCAGACCTGGAGGGTAACTAGGGGCCATAGGCTCAGGGGTCTCACCAGGCTCTGTCAAGCCTGGTCTTTTTTTTTTTTATGATTCTGAGTTTTGTTCCACATTGTTCTCCCACTCTATTCAGGGTCTCCTGTACTGATCCCTTTTCTGAGTGGCTGACAATGGTAGCCAGGCACCATCTAGTTCTTCTGGTCTCATGGTCATATAGGCTGAGGTTCACATGGTCCATTAGTCCCTTGGACTACTTGTTTGCATGCATCTTTGATTTTCTCCATTCTTCTTTGCTCTGGATGAGGAAAGACCCATCATTGCATCTAGATGACTGCTTGCAAGCTTTTAACACCCCAGTTGCTTTTCACCAAAGTAGGATTGTATGTTATGCCAGTTGAGCTTGATGTCCCCTGTGACCATGATCCTGAGCCCACAGGTCAGTGTCATGAGTAGCTGGCTGTGGCCAAGAAATGACTACAACCTTACCCCTTGTCAGCTCTGCCATACACCCAGACATTCTTACAGCGCATACAAATACACTTGTAGAGACATTGTCTGCCAACCCTGTACGTGCTCATGGGCACACCCCATCCTGCCTAGACATACCTGATCATTCAGGTGGATATCTTCTCTTAAATCTTATGTTTTCTTTTCACTTAGGTGCCCAAATTTAAGGCACTTCCTTTGCCCCATTTTGACACAATTAACCTGCCAGAGAAGAAGGTGAAGACTGCAACCCAGATTGAGCCTTTCTGTTTGGAGACTGACAAAAGGGGTGCTCTGAAGATGCAGACTTGGAAGCACCAGGTAGGGAATGGGCAGAGCAGCCAAAATGTCAGTGCACGGTTAGTTGATTAGTTTATTAGAATACGCCAACCCACTGCAATGAAAATTAATCCAGGACCTAATATACTGGATTATTTCAGGGGCCCTTATTCTAAATCAGAGAGGTCTGTAAACTTTCTCTGTAAAGGGCCAGCTAGTAAGTATTTTCAGTTTTACAGATTACATATATAGTCTCTGTCGTATCAGAATGTGTGTATGTTTGTTTTTCACCCTTTAAAAGAATATGAAAAATATTCTTAGCTCAAGGGCTGTGCAAAAACAGGTCACAATCCAGATGTGAAGTATAGGCCAAAGTTTGCTGGCTCTAGTTCTGCCTGATCATATGGGGAATATGAGAACTGACTGGCTTCTTTGCTGAGTATTTGTCAATATTAACTGTTAATTTTTAAGTATGATAATAGTATTGTGGCTGTTTGTTTATTTTTTTTAAGTCCTTTTGATTTAATTTTTGGTCAAAATATGCACAAGAAAACCTGTTCCCATTCTCGTTTCTGGACATAATGATCAGTAATATTTGTTACATACTTCACACTGTGTCAACATTTTGCTCTAGTTATTTCACTGCCCCACCCCCAACCTTCTCATCTGTGCTTTAAAATAACTGTTGATCTATGGTCATATTGGTATTTTTTTTTTTTTTTTTTTTTTTAAAGAAATATAATGCTCAAGGTTGACAGTGTGGGGCTAAACAGTTACTTAGTTTAAAGGTGACTTCAGAGGATAGTTTCAATTCAGGGTTTGAAGAGCAACTCAGGACCATAGTCTTGCAGACTTCTCTTATCTTCTACAGGTCTAGTAAGTCTGGATTCTTTAAGATTTTGAAGTTCTGTTCCACATTTTCCTCCTTTTTTATCAGGATTCATCTGTTGTGTTCTTACTCAGTATATTCAGTTGTGATTGTGGATATTGTTTAGTTCTGGTCTCAGTTGGTTCCTGTGGTGGAGGAGGCAGTTAGTTCATGTAGTCAGTTAGTCTTGTAGTCCATTTCCTTCTCTGATTCTTGGGTTTCCCTCTTTCTTTTTTGTTCCAGACAAATAGAGACCTGTAGTTGTGTCTTAGATGGCTGCTTGTAAGCTTTTAAGACCCTAGACACTATTCACCACACGGGGAGGTAGAACATAAACTTCAAGAACTATGTTTTGCCAATTGACTGGATTGTCCCATGAGAACACTATCCTAAAACCCCAAATGAAGAGAACTAATCCCATGGGATGATGGGTTATGTCTAATTAGTATCAGGATCTGTAGCTTCACCTGCCCCCCCTTTTTTTGGCTAGTTGTTATTGTTGCAAAACCATACACAACCTCTTATTTGCCATTCATCCCTTTTCCCTGTGTACGTCAGTTACATCAGTCATGCTGTGCAAACTTAACCCATATCGGTTGCCACCATTTGCATTTCTAGAAACAGAAAGTGACTACTATTTAGAGAGTACTTTTCCTCTCACCCCTATAACCACTAATGAGCATTAGTTTCTGTGTATTTACCTTTTCATATCATTTCATAAAAGTGAGAACATGTAATATTTGTTTTCCGGTGGTTGACTTATTTTACTCAACATAGTGTCCTCCAGGAGGTTCATCCATGCTATGTTTCAGGAACTCCTTTTTCTTTATCACTGAGTAGTATTCCATTGTATGTATGTCCCACATTTTGCTTATCCGTCCATCCATTGATGGGCACTTGGGTTGTTTCCATCTTTTTGCTATTGTGAATAATGCTGCAATGATCACAGGTGTGCATATGTCTGTTCATGTAATTTCTATTAGATCTCTAGGGTGCGCACAACAATGTCCTTATCTTTTAAAGATCTATCTATTCCATCTGTTAGACTCATTCATTAAATGTTCACTTTTTTGTGTTGGTGCTTTGGTAAAAAACAGTATGGTGAAAATACATTTTCAATATGGTATACTCTTCCCAACCTGGTATGCAATTTGTTTTTTATAGATGACAGGTGATTAAAAATATTTGACTTTTGGCTGGTCTAACTGAAATAGAATTCTAACCTGTCTAGAAAAAAAATTCCCAAGACTTTAATTTTGTCAATATTTTTGTATCATCACTGTATTAGTTTCTGGGAGCTGTGGTGGCATAGTGCGTAAGTCATTTGCTAACCAGAAGGCTGGCAGCTCAAACCCACCAGCCATTCCTTGGAAGGAAGATGGGCAATCTACTTCCGTAGAGATACCGCCTGGGAAACCCAAGGAGGGGTTGCTATGAGTTGGGACCAGCCCGACAGCAGTGAGTTTGGTTTGGTTTTTGTATTAGTGTCCTAGGATTGCCCTGTCAAAATGCCACAAACTGGGTGGCTTAAAATGACAGAAATTTATTCTCTCACGGTTTGAAAGTGAGGTATCACAGGACTCTACTACCCCTGAAAGCCAAAGGGAGAATCTGTTCTGTGCTTTTCTCTTATCTTGTAGTGGCTGTTGGCATTCTTTGGCTTGTAGTTACTTCACTGCAGCCTCTTCTGCCATGCCTTGTTCTACCTGTATTTCTGTCTGTATGTGTTCTCTTGTTTGTTTTATAAGGATACCAATCATATTGGACTTAAGGCCCACTTTAATCTATTACAACTTCCTCTTAACATCTGCATAGATCCTGTTTCCAAATAAGGTCACAATGTGAGAGCCCACGTGGGCATGAATATAGGGGGGGACACTGTTCAGCCCAGTAAACTCACTTATCCTTAACCCCACCCAGAAGGAGCTCTGGACTAATCTGTGTAGCAGTCATCCCTGTAACAGCCTAAGAGACGTGACTGCTTACATGACTGAACTGAGGTCGCCTGCTGGCATTCCTCGCCAGCAGAACTCGGGAGCGTCGCTTTGAAGTAGCAGTGAATCTCCCTTTCTCAAGGACTAAAACATAGAATGTTTGTGTGGGGAGTTTTCCATTAGAAAAAGTTTTTAAGTTTTTTAGACATTCAAAGTAGAGAGAATCATATGATGAGCTTCCATGAAACAATTGTCTGGTTCTGTAATGGTCAAAACATGGACTGTCTTATTTCATCGGCGCTTGTGCCACTTATCCCTTATACTGGACACTGCTGCCCACACAGGGTATTATTTCAAAACAAATTCTGCATACCTCATTTCATTGAAAAATACTTCAGCATCTATCTTTAAAGATAAGGATTTAAGAAAATAAATAGTGCTATTGCCATTTTTCAAAAAATTAACAGTAATTTCTTAATATTGATAAACACTCAGGATCCAAATATCCCTAAATCTCTCATAATTTTTTTAACAGTTGAATTGTACAAATCAAGGCCCAAATAAGGTTCACATATTGCATTTGTCTGATAAATCTCTAAATCCCTATTAATCTATGTTTCCCTCCTTGCATTTTATTTGTTGAATAAACTGGATTATTTGTCCTATACATTTTCCACAACCTAGAGCTTACTGATTGCATCCCCATGATGTTGTTGAACATGTTCCCTACCCCCACTGTCGCCTATAAATGGGTAGTTAGATCTAGAGGCTTGATTAAATTCTGGTTAGATTATTTTTTGGGGGAAGAATATTTTATAGGTGCTATTGTATAGTTCCTAATGAATCATATCAGGGCCATTAATGTCTGGTTGTTAATTGTTATTTTGAGATGGGTCTTAAAAGTACCTTAAAGATTCTAGTTTTCAGTGGGTGCAGATGTTGTCAGTCTTTATATGTTCATTATAAAGTTTCTGTGAGAGGTTTAACTGGGCTTTACATTAAATCATTTGTCTGTATTGATGAAGCAGTTCAGAAACATTAGAATTTGAGTCATTGAGGTGGTGGTCAGGGAAAGTTGTATAATTGCCTGTCTGACAGACTTTCTTTCTTATAGCTGGAGGAAGAACTGAAACAGCAGAAAGAAGCAGCTTGCTTCAAGGCCCGTCCAAACACTGTCATCTCCCAGGAACCCTTTGTTCCCAAGAAAGAGAAAAAAACAGTTGCTGGTACTGTTACATGTAAACCTGGAGCACTGGGGGAGAGTTGTCAGACTTGCCAGGGGAGTGCCTACGAATCAGTTGTGTTATTCTGTGTCAAGCAGAAGCAAGCTTGGACTTCAGAGGATTGTAGCTTTTCTTCCCCTGGAACCAATATTTTGCCTTTGTTGAACACAGCAACTGTGTTGAGTTGCAGAATGTATTGGGGTCAGAGTCATTTAACAGAAACTTCAGGAGAAGCAACTGACCTTTCAGTAACAGTTCTAGGCTTTCCTTGCCCCTAGAGTAGCAAGTAAGTGAGGAAGGGAGAGCCAGGAGATAGTTCTAGAGTTCATCACTGGAACAAACCTTAGAGATAAAACATTTGATTCCTTAAGCACTAAATGAGGTCAGAAAATTAAGATTCCTCTGCATCTATCTCAGAATCACTATGTAGTTTTTATTTTAAGCAAGTTACTTCTTTGGGCCTTGCTTTTCTCCTGAGCATGCTAGATAATTTCCAAGGGTCTTTCCAATTCTTAAAATTCCAAGGCTCTTTGTATGTGGTTTATACCCCCCCACACACACCTTTCTCCAAATGGGGCTGTTTCAGAGCTCAGCCTCTCTGTTGGCATGCATGTCTGTACACTGACCAGATCTAGGAGGGCTACGTTTATGCATGTCCTGCTCGTGCACCAATATTCTCTTTGTTCTGTACTCAGAAGGCCTTGCTGGTTCTCTAGTTCAGGAACCTTTTCAACTGGCCACAGAGAAGAGAGCCCAGGAACGGCAGGAGCTGGAAAAGAAAATGGCTGAGATAGAAGCCCAGAAAGTCCAGCGCTTGGAGGAGATCAGGCAACGGGAGGAAGAGCAGAAGAAGGAGGAGCTGGCCCAGCTACGGAAAGAACTGGTAACTGGACAGCATCCACACTGACTGACCCAAGCTGTTTTACCTGTGCCTTGCCTTGTTCCAGAAAGGATCTAGGGAGACCTGTAATGATATATCAAGGGCAACAAGTATAAAGGGAAAACACAAACCAAGGGTATTGACAAAGATGAGAAAAGATTAAAGATGTATACATTGTAATCCATATGTCGCCTAAGTATGGGCCATAATTTTGGCCCTTTTTAGTAATCAACCTGTCAGATACAAAACTTACAATGTTCATGAGATAAAAATAAGCCAGTTGTCCTCTAAGAATATTTATCCTTAAAATTGAATTCAGACAGAATTTTTATAAGGAGGATATCATGTGTAGACCCATGCACAGTAAGTAATTCATTTCCTAGGACTCTTATCACTTCCAGTTAGTAGTCAAATGCCTTAGGCACTATGCCACCACAGCTGCCTTATTTACTTAGTCATTTATTTATTTATTTATTAGGCATTTGACTGCTAACCAGAAGGTTGGTTCAAACCCACCAGCCACTCTGCAGAAGGAAGATGGGGGCCATCTACTTCCATAAAGATTTACCACCTTGGAAACCCAGCAGGGGTCACTATGAGTCAGAATCAACTTGATGGCAGTGGGTTTGTTTTTTTCTTCTTTTTTTTTTAATCTCATCTTTTACTTTTGGGCTTTAGAAGGATCTTTAAAAAAAAAAAGAAAGAAAAAAACAACAGTTTGTTTGAGATATAATTTACATACTATACAGTTTATCAATTAAAACGGACAATTTATGATTTTTATTATATTCACAGATATGTGCATCCATCACCATAGTCAATTTTGGAACATTTTCATCCTCAAAAAAGAAACCCCAAAACCTTTAGCTGTTACCTTCCAATCTATTTTCAGTTTCATCTGACATGTTTTACAGTTAAACAAGAAGACATAAGGACGTGGGAATTGTATGGTGACTTTATTTTTGTTTTCTTTAATTCTTAGTCTGAATTCCTTGGAATTATAGTGTATAAGGTGCCTTAGTGGAACAGTGGTTAAGCAGTCTTGTACTAGTCAGAAGGTCAGTGATTTGAAACACCAGCTGTTCCATAGGAAAAAGATGTGGAAGTCTACTTCCATAAGGAATACAGCTTTGAAAACCCTATGGGGCAGTTCTGCTCTGTCCTGTAGGATTGCTATGAGTCAGAATTGACTCAGTGGCAACAGATATGGTGTATATGATCCAGGTGATGTTACCATAATGATTTAGACACTAGTTTTCTAAAAAGAAATCTTAATTCACATTAAGGACTCTTTTGCTAGTAAAACAGCAAGGTGCATTAACTGTATGAGTGAGGAAAAAGGTAGTTTTAGATGGAACGTCACATAAAAGGAAATAGAAATATATAAGTTGTTGAGCTCCTGTCTGAAAATGCTAGACCAGCAGCTGGTACACAGCTCTAGGCAGAGGTGGCTTTGCCCACAGGGATTAAATATTCAAGGGATTAGCTTCTTGGCAAATTCCCGGCTACTGTTTGCTGATTGGATGAAAAGTCAATACAAATACCGCCACGTAGACACTTAAAAAACTAGCCTTTTTTCTAGCCTCACCTTCTTAGATTTTTCTTCAACACTTAGTACTTGCCTCTTGCATTTGACTGCGTCATAGAACTATTTCTTACAGTGATTCTCATTGTAGGCTGATAGTGACATCCTAAAGCATACTTCAGTCAACGCCAGCTACCTCTCTACTGATAGGGTTTGATTCAGGGTTGATTTTAGGACTACCTGGAGGGGTGATTGAGACAGTGTTCTAGCAACCTTCCTGATGATTGTTTTTCTTATTCATGCTTTTGGTGAATATTAAGGGAAAGTAAATTTAAGGTTGTACTCTGGCAAATTCTTAAAGTGTAACAATTCTCTGCTGCAGTTCAGTAGAGCCCTATTACAACCAAACGTCTTGACATCAAATTGACTCCAACTCATAGCATCCCCTCCTTGGGTTTCCAAGATGGTATCTTTGTGGAAGTAGATTGCCCAGTCTTCCTTCCAAGGAGTGGCTGGTGAACCACCAGCCTTCTGGTTAGCAGTTAAAATGCCTTAGGCACTATGCCACCAGAGCCCCATTATACCCTGATAATTAACAGTCTGATTGAAGATGAGTTTGACATCCTTTAGGGAAAGCTGAGAGACCCAGTACACATAGACTTGAAACCTATTTGGGATCCAAAGCTTACGTTCTTTTCCATTATATTGTTGCGTTTTTTTTTTTTTTTCCGATTAGGGATTGGGATCTATGCAATTACATGATCTTGTTTTTAGAAAGAAAATTTTAAAAACTGTAAGTGTAGTCTCTAACATCCTCATCATGGTAACTTTTTCCTTCCTATGCAGGTGCACAAGGCAAATCCAATACGTAAGTACCACACTGTGGAGGTTAAGTCAAGTGACCAGCCTTTGACTGTGCCTGTGTCTCCCAAGTTCTCTACTCGATTCCACTGCTAAACTCAGCTGTGACCTGCAGATGCCACTGGGGACCAGGACTGCTCTGTACATCAAACCAAAAGCCTTCATTCTTTGTCATTGGGGCATGGAAAGAACTCTTTTCTCCAGACATTTTTTTTTTTTTTTAAACCTATTCATGCCTGATAGTGTATACCTGTCTAGGTCAGACTTCCTGTTATAATGTCCTTTAAACTATCAGTTGGCTGTTAATATGTGCCATAATTCTCAAACTAGAATTTAAAGTCACAATGTAATCTCCACTGTCCTCTACCCCCCTTTTTATGCATTTTAATGTGAAAATAAAGATTGTTACATAGTGAGATTGTATTTAAGTCATGGTTTAAAAAATAACCATTCAGTATTCCGGATCCGTTTACCTCTGCTATCCACGAAGTGAACCAAGAGGTAAGGAGCCCTTTGCTAGGATAATAGTGAAGTTGAGGGAGTTCAGGACTGATAATGGACAAAGATACTACCATGAGATAGCGTCTGCACAGCAAGCTACTTATTGGGGCCCATACACTTGCAGCTGCATATAGGTGCTGGTATCCCCCACAGTAGGAGGTTTTCCAGAAGAGAGGTTTCTGGGTTGGAGAGCTCCAGAGAGCAGTGGCATCCTAGGGTCCTTATAACTACAGGAATTTATCTTGTCTAAGGTTAGCATATGTTGAGCACATTTGTGCAGAGTATGTAAAAAGGATAAGCTGAAAGTAGGTAAGAATCTGCTTATTGAAACTGAAACAATTGAATGAGTACAAGTTTGGGTTTGGTGCTGTGCTGGCTTTTCTTCTAGGCTTTTCTTGGGCTGATGGGCCTCATCTTGCTATGAAGTAAACAACCTGGGGCCAATACACAGAGGCCATATTTGGCTCATTCATGTAATGGGTGTCAAGCCTCAACTGCACCAATGAGGAAGAAGACAGCCTGGGGTGTAGAAACCTCACAGCAGCCATTTGGGAAGCTTTGTATAGAATTGCTGTTAGGGCACAGTTCCCCCTTTGTCCATACTGATAATTAGCAAGAAACAGTGCAGCATACATTTAAAAAGTCTTCTAGTGACCTGGCCTGGCGTAAATATGTCTCCTGTGCTCTGATTTTGTTATTTGATGTTTATAGATATCTCAAGCCCCTTTGGGGTCACATCTTACAGGGAAATAGTTTAGGTCTAGAAACTTAAAGCCATAGGCTCTGTCTTAAAGGAAAGTGCTTGGTAACCTTTTTTTTTCCCCCTATCTTTCTGTCAAGAAATAGAGGAGGTTGCACACAGATGCAACGGGAGGGTGGAGGGAGTTCCCATTGGCTTCTTCCTGTTAAAGGAGGAGACGCAGCTTGCTGAGAGTGTGGAGTGATGGTTCTTGAATTTGAACACAGTGGAGAAGATGTGAAATAGTCACTGAGGAATGGAAGAGCAAACTGCCCAGAGGAGTGTAGTGTTGTTGGGTTATTGGGAGGTGTCCCAGGTCCTTTTGAGAAAGTGAATTTTGGCTGCTGTGAACCTGACCTGCTGTGTAACTTGGACCACCAAGGTGCTAGGCTGTTCAAGCAGAGTCACAGAGAGAGCAGATGGCAGGGTTTATCCCAGGCTGGGGTTTTCCACGTGAGAAAAGCAGAGGGAAGGGCAAAGGAGTCACGTAGTAATAGTAGTAGTAGTAGTAGTAGTCTTTATGATTTTCTTTTTATCTCCTTTGTTGGTTTATTAGCTGTTGTTGTTATGTGCTGTCGACTCAGACCCAACTCATAGTGACCCCTCCTTGGGTTTCTGAGGCAGTATCACTATGGAAGTATATTGCCCAACTTTCCTTCCAAGGAGTGGCTGGTGGGTTTGAACCACCAGCTTTCTGGTTAGCAGTCAAGTACTTTAGGCACTATGCTACCAGAGCTCCTATGGTTTATTAGCTATCACTATGTTATTTTAGTAGTTGCTTCAGGATTTATAGTGTATATTTTTAACTTATCACAGTCTACATTCAATTAGTATACCACTTCACATACATACAGTATAAGAACCTTATAAGAGTATACTTCTGTTTTTCCCCTCCCAGTCTATTTTATTGTCATACATTTTACTTATTCATAATCATAAACCCCATTATACATTGTTTATATTTTTGTTTAAACAGGCAATTAACTTCTTTTTAATTGTGATTTGGGTGAAAGGTTACAGAGCAAATTCACTTTCCATATGGTAGCTCACATACACTTTGTCTCATGACATTGACTGCAATTTCCCACAGTGCAACAGCTCCCTTCCCACTTCCTCCCTGCAGTTACCTCTTCCATATGTCATTCCCTCCATACACTCCTGCCCTCTGAGCTGTCTCCCTGTGCATACACAGCCCTTCTATTCTTACATAATTGATCTCTCCAAGGAGTGTATTTATCTAATGTAAATGTTCAGCTCAGATGCCTGTCTTTTGTTTGGCTGGAAGCCACAAGAGCAGGTTCAATTCCAGACCTGAAGGGCAGCTAGGAGCCATAGTCTCAGGGGTTCCATCCGGCTTTATCAGACCAGCAAACCTGGACCCTTTTTTTTTCAAGTGATTTTGAGTTTTATTCCACATTGTTCTTCCACTCTATCCAGGATCTCCTACATGGATCCCCCTTCTAGTGGATGACAGTGGTAGCCAAGCGCCATCTAGTTCTTCTGATCTCTTAGTCGTATAGGCTGAGGATCATATGGTATACCAGTCTCTTGGACTATTTGTTTCCATGCACCTTTGGTTTTCTTTATCCTTCTTTGCTCTGGACAAGGAGAGACCCATCATTGCATCTAGATGGCCGCTTGCAAGCTTTTAAGATCCCAGTCACTATTCGCCAAAGTAGGTTGTAGAACAGTGTTTTTGTGTAGTGTGTTATGCCAGTTGAGCATGATGTCCCCTGCGACCATAGTCCCAAGCCCACAGATCCAACTACTTGCTCCCTCTAGGTAGCTGGTGGTGGTCAAGAAGTGACTACAGCCTTGTCCCTTGTCAGCTCTATTATATACCTGGGCATTCTTATAGAACATAAAAATACACTTGTAGAAACATTTTCTTCCAACCCTATATGTGGTCACAGGCACACTCCCTTCTACATAGACATACCTAATAAATAGTTCAGCCTGTCCACCCATATGTGCAAAATGGTTCATCTATGTTGTCTGTACCTCCCATCTCTCTATGTCTTCCTCTTTCTCAATGCCCCATGTTGATCACTCACATTTGGTACATTACCCTTTACCCAAATCAATACTTGTCTCTACCTATCTAAGAGTGTTCCCTCTCCTCCCTTCCCCTCCCACCCCTCATAACCAACAAAGAAAACTTCCTTCCATATAGAAACTTTTCCTTGATTTTTTACAATAACGGACTTATATAGTATTTGTCCTTCTGTGATTGACTTATTTCATTCAGCATAATGTCCTCCAAGTTCATCCATGTTACCTGGTGTTTTGCCAATTCTATGTTGTTCTTTAGGGTTGCATAGTATTCCACTGTGTGTATGTACCAAAGTTTGGTTATCCATTCTTCTGTTGATGGGCACCTAGGTTGTTTCCATCTTTATGCTATTGTAAATAGTGCTGCGATGAACATGGGTGTGCATATGTCTGTTCTTGTCCTGGTTCTCACTTCTTTAGGATATACACTTAGTAATGGAATGGCTGGGTCAAATGGAAATTCTAATTCCAACTTTTTAAGGAATCGCCATACTGCCTTCTACAGTGGTTGTATCATTTTACAGTCCTACCAGCAGTGTATGAGAGTCTCAATCTCTCCTCATCCTTATTTTCTCTCTTGTTGAACTTTGCTACTAGTGCTGGGGCCAGATGGTATCTCATTGTTGTTTTGATTTGCATCTCTCTAATGACTAATGATCGTGAAGAGTTCTTCATATGGTTTTTGGCCACCTGAATATCCTCTTTGGTGAAGTGTCTATTTATGTCTCCTGCCCATTTTTTAATTGGACTTTTTGTTTTTTTTAATTTTTTAATTGGTCTTTTTGTTGTTGAGGTGTTGGAGTATTCTGTAAATTCTAGAGGTAAGTCCCTTGTCAGATATGTCATTGCCAAATATTTTTTCCCTGTCTGTAGGTTCTCTTTTGACTCTTTTGGAGAAGTCTTTGGAAGCACATAAAAATTTAATTTTTGGAAGGTCCCATTCATCTAGTTTATCTTCTGCTTAAACAGGCAATTATCTTTTAAAGAGCCATACAAAATAAGAAAAAAATCTTTTTCACCCATGTAGTTACTATCTCTGGTTCTCTTCATTCCTTTATATGGATCCATATTTCCATTTGGTATCATTTTCCTGCTGCCCAAACATCTTCTTTTAACATTTCTTGTAATGTGGGTCTGTTAGTGATGAATTCTTCCCACTTTTATATGTCTGGAAAAGACTTTATTTCACCTTTGTTTTTGAAAGATTTTTGCTGGGTTTAGAATTCTGGCCTTTGACAGCTTTTCCTTTCAGCACTTTAAAGATGTTGGTTCACCGTTTGCTCACTTGGATTATTTTCACCAAGAAATCTATCACCCTTATTTTTGTTTTCTGTGTGTAATGTGTCTTTTTTCTTTTAGCTCTTTTAGAATTTTCAGCAATTTGATTGTGATTTGTCTTGGTAATTTTCCTTCATATTTCTTTTTTTTTTTTTTT